CTCTAACCACTACACCACGGAGGCGGTCTCCTGTTGTTTGAGGGTCCAATTAACATTTCTATTTAATCTCAATATATCTCAGGAACTACCTCTGTCCAGGACATACCATGCCATGTTGGGTGGAATGAGTCTGTTCCTGTCATGATAAGATACTATAACAGTTTACTTCAAGGAAAGTGTTACCTGATGAATCACATCCCACCATCAAAGTGAATTTTGAACTCAGATGTTGGTGGCAGTTATGGGAATTTCTGTGGCAAAGTTCCATTTGGATTTTGTCTAGGACTCAGACTAAGTGCCCCTGTCAGGAAGAGGGTCTGGGTATCTGATGTTTTTCACTGCAATGAAATTGTCTAAAGATACATAGTACAAAAAAAAACAACAACATAAAATCTCTTTATTTTCAGCCTGATACAGCAGAGTTCACGAATAGCGTCTGACCCTCTGACAAATCCGGGCAGATTCGCCAACGGTCTGATAGAAGTCTTAAACCCACTGGCCCCAGTGTCTGACTGTTTGTTTCACAATGACTCTGACTGAAGTTGTTATATGTGACATGTGACACTTGTTTGCTGTTTATATATCTTATGTTTGTTAATAATTTCAATGCCAATTATAAGAAATGTTCAATCTGAAATGTGTGTTTAATTTCATTCTATGGGTCCTGTGAATTTTCAATGGGTCAGACAGACATCTGAAACTTGCAGGACCCAATGTCCTGTTACTTTGAAACACCATTCGTGAACACTGTACTGAAGAAAAGTAGACTTTCAAGTTGTTATAGATACTGAAGAAAACTAGACTTTCAAGTTGTTATAGATACTGAAGAAAACTAGACTTTCATTGTTATAGATGCCATGGGAGTTTTAGAATTTTTTGTGTCTGTAGAGATCTATTTTGCGCCAGGTCTGAAAAAGGTCAATGTATGTTGGCAGAAAATACGAAAACAATCTAATTTACCTGTCAAAACCAATTATTTATTCCTCTTAACTCTATTAAGTAGACACCTTATTGTCCCTCAGTAAATCCCAGTCTTCATCTCCTAAACAATCATCACCCTGTCAGACAAATCATAATCTTCACCCTGCAACCCTCACCTGTCTGACAGCCAGATTTACCCCACCCAGGTATTCCATTGTCCTCCAACACACAGGGTCATTGTCCAAGCCATCTGACCCATACTTCCCCCTAGTGTGCCCCCCTTGACCACTGGCTGAAGCTCATGCATGACTGGTCAGTGGTTGTATGGGGGTATTGTCCCCCAATGAAAGGTCTGACCCCTAACTGTTCTCAATTCAGACTCTGGTTTGTCTGTCATGAATGTTAAGGTTTATCCTGGGAGCACCTGTTGCACATTATGTGTGGGAAAACAGGACAGGGAAAGAATTTTTTTTTTTTCTAAACGTATGCCCTCTCCTCAGTCTGACTCTTGGTATTTCTTCTTTTCCATCCCATTTTTCACAAAAATTAGTCAGCCTTATTTTTTCATATATATAAGGTGAAAAAATATTGAACACATTATGTGTAAATTCAAAAAGAACATCAACCATTTCAAGAATGTAATGATCACTAGGAGCCTTCACAAAGGGACATTTGACACTGTGTATTGTGTCATTCATTACAGCAGTTGATAAATTCTCTTCTCATCCAGTGGATAAAGTAACGTAAAGACATGAAGCAACTTTATTTGATTTTTGGCAGGTTTGGTTTGTTGTTTAACACACTCAGCAATATTCCAGCTATATGACGATGGTCAGTAAAAAATCCAAATCTGGACCAGATAATCCAGTGATCAACAGCATGACCATCAAATTGACCATCAGTTGTTATACGATGACATGAGTCAACCACTTTAAGTCATCACTCCCGACCACCTGATTCCGTTTGTTGCCTCTTACAACAAGTATGGTTACTGAAGATCACTCTTCAAGGGCTCTTCTCGTCACGTAAATATATCAAAAAAATATTTTTTGCAAAAACACCCACTACTTCGGGAAAGATAACAATATATAGGACACTATTCATCAATATCAGTATCTTCCAAATTTGAAAAATTTCAACAACAAAATTGTAAAACAATGTTTCAAGCTAAAATTCCAATCCATAGTTTATGCTAGATGAGTTGTGAGACATTAGTCATTATGTTTCAGACTTGCAAGGAATCCTCATACATAACCCACTACCGACTGTAGAGGAAAGTACTGTAGTGTCAACAGCCTTTCCTGTCAGATGAGTGAGTGAGTTTTGGTTTTACCCCGCTTTTAGCAATATTCCAGCAACATCATGGCGGGGGACACCAGAAATGGGCTTCAAACACTGTACCCATGTGGGGAATCGAACCAGGGTCTTCGGCGTCTTCGAACGCTTTAACCACTAAGCTACCCCACCGTTCCTTTCCTGTCAGATAGTCAATCAGAAGGGTGCTTAACCATAACTTGTAGATAGAATTCCACAGCTATTAGGAAACCTTATTCTTTCAAATAAAGGTAAAATAATTAATACATTGAACATATTACGTCTAACTAAAACAGAACATCTCAACCCATTCAAGAATGTAATGATCACTAGACTGACAGTGTTCCAATAGTGCCGTCCACCCATAGTATTTAGTGGCAGGGAATGAGTTTTGGTTTTACGCCGCTTTTAGCAATATTCCAGCAACATCACGGCGGGGGACGCCAGAAATGGGCTTCACATATTGTACCCATGTGGGGATTCCAACCTGGGTCTTCGGCGTGACGAGCCAACACTTTAACCACTAGGCTACCCCACCGCCCCTAATGATCACTAGAAACTAGAAATGGACGTATGTTTCATGATTGAACTGATTCCTCTCAACTTGCACAAGCCTCTAAGGTAATAATTAATAGTTTAAATAAAAATTTCTAAAAAAAATATAAAACATGGACTGGCTGCCTTAGACTGTCCGCTTATCTTGACTTGCCTCTTTATAGGACAGAATTACTATACATCCGTGGGCTTAGTATTCAAAACAGCTTTGGAGCAAGGCTATGGATCCTCTTACATAACCAATTACAGACTGTAGAGGTAAGTATTGCAGTGTTAACAACCCTTCCTGTCAGATAGTCAATCAGAAGGGCACTTAACCATAACTTGTTGATAGATTTCCACTACTAAATCCCAGTTGCCTTGGGCCATGCTTTTTCTTATTGCATGGCTGAATTCTGTGCCACCAGTCAGAAAGTAGTAACACCAGACTGATAATTAAACCAGTTTTCTAGACCCTGGTCTAGTATTACTTCCATAATGTAATGGAGAGGTATTTAGATAAGCCATTACGGATCGTTTACCAATCCATGTTAATTTATTTTTGAATAAAATATATTTACACTAACCCTGAATTCAGAATATCTAAAATCCATGCATACTTTGTCTAGCAATTTGACAACATTTGGGCAAGTCCCTGAAGTTTACAATACTTTAGCAAGTCAAGCAAGTGTATAAACTTGGCTAAATCTAGCAAGTCTGCCATACTTTTAACAAGTGCAGGAAGTATATATTACTTGGCCAAATCTGACATGTCTACAATACTTTAGCAAGTCAAGCAAGTGTACATACTTGATCAAACTTAAAATTGAGCCTAGGAAGTATATGGAATTGAATCATTGGTTTCTGTCAAAATCTGGCAAGTCTTGAGCAAAATGGGCACTTCTACACCATTTTGGTCAAGCCGATCAAGTCTAGCTAGTCCACTATACTTATAAAGTCATGAAAGTCTGTATACTTGGGCAAATCTAAACATCTACACCAGTTAGGTTAGTCCAGGTAGTCAATACACCAGTGGGTTCAATTGTTTTTGACACAGACTGTAATCCCATTCATGTTCGTACCACATAACACAGCCCTCTTCACATACATACATCGTTTTGTTACAAAAATAAACTACCTTGACTTAAGATGTAGGTTTCTCCCAGAATAACACGTGCTTAAACAGTCGGACTGGTGATGTATATATATGTACAAGAGGAGTCAAGTATCTGTGAATTTGAAGATGGCGTATTCATACCCAATCTTTCTGGGCTGTTGTTGGTTCCTCTCAGTTCAAATCTTGTTAAAAACATTATTATTTGATGAGGCATCTCGTAATTATGATTTTAAGAACTGTGAAAATGACTTTTTCAACTCAAAAGATTACACCTCAATGTGACTTCACACACGTCCTTCACAGAGGGAGTGATTTTCAGCGCAACCAGAACTGGTAACCAAGGCAACAGGGAGCATCACCAAATGAAGTTCATTACAATTATGCTGCTATATTGCTTGTTTGTTTAACGCCACACTCGACAATATTCCAGCCATATGGTGGCTGTGTGTAGGTAATATAGAATTGTATCTTACCAAGGAAATAAAACTGAAAATAAATCACCCCCTCTTGAAAATAACTACTTTCAAAAGTCTGTGAAATATGAATGTTCTTTACACTGGCCTGAACTAAATTACAACTATTTTCATCAAGGCACGCTCAGAAATCAACATTAAGCCTACGTCTGAAGAACATTTTGAGAAATTTTCCATAATTACAACATGATGCCTATCCTAAATGTAGGAATAGAATTTGGGTTATTCGAGTCACTTGTGAACTGATTAATAACTGTCCATCCTTCTCTAGCCAGGCATCTGTTATAAACCACTTTTAAAAAATCAAGCGCGACCCTTGCGACAGAAAATCTCACAGAGTATCGAAAGAATCCTATCCATGATCCAAGCAGCTTTACTCAAATACCCTTGCTTGACACGGATTAAAACACAAGTACCGGCAAGCCAGACAGTCAGAGTCCCACGATAAACAAGCCTCCCTGATGCTGACAGTGTGACAGGGCTGATCTACCCGGGTTCTCACCTGAACAGGGAGAGGTCACAGCCGATATTCTCACCTGATTAATCACGAGGGATCACACAGGTGTGTGACGGGACATACAGGTAGAGGATACTGTTACCTGGGACCTGGGGGGAACTGTTTGTCGACACTTTAAAACCACTTGATCTCAATCCTGTCGTTGATGCCTACTTGAGTAAGTTAAAATGCCTGATCATACTTGCATGAATAAGCTTGTGTAGAGAGATTTGGTAACAACAGCACCTGTTTGTAATTTTGAATTTGAGAGAGTGCGTACAGTTTTACACCACTTTTAGCAATATTCCAGCAATATCAAGGTGGGGGACACCATAAACTGACTTCACACATGTGGGGAATCGAACCCAGGCTTTGGGTGTCATGAGCAAATGCTTTCCACCCACTAGACTACCCCACCACATTAAATTTGTATTAAGAGACACATCTATGCATAACATGTCAAATAAGGATGAAATTAATTTCTGTCGGTCAGATTGGTGTAGTTCTACACAATTTAAGAAAAACACTTTTTTTCCAAGGAATTTTCAAAGTATCATGTAAAATAAGTTGGTTCCTTAATACCATACTTAATAATATTCCAGCTGTATGACTAAAAAGACAATCCAGTGATTGATGTCATGAGTGCCGATTTTGAGTTTGCATTAGTTTATCATTCAACCGATTATTCAATAACATTCCATTTCGAGGGGCGGTGGGATAGCCTCCGTGGTGTAATGATGAGAGCGTCCGCCCGGAGAGCGGAAGGTCGTGGGTTCGATCCCCGGTCGCGTCATACCAAAAGACGTTTAAATAAGGTACATCATGAGCATTAATCTGCACCATTTGGATACAATGGCGTGCATCAACCAAGACAGCCTTGCCACCCAAGCCTGCTAGTTCCCCAGGTGACCAGGATAAAATTGAATTAAAATCATATCCCGTTGATTTCATTTTAATAACAACAACATTACCTTGCCCATCGTAAAGGTTTGCTAAGTTTCTAAAAATTTATAAAGTAGCATTGAAGCTGCCACACGCTTTAATATAAGCAAGAAATGCATTCTGACATTCATGGCGAACAATACTCCTTGAAAATAATAGTCCAGCCAAAGAGATGTCAATATTGAGAGCTGTAAGAGATTCACTTCACTGTTATGGTACAACACACTTCCTTACAAACTGTATCAACCTCCAAACATAACCAGGGGTGGAAATAACTTTAAAATTGCTAGTGTACTCCGGTACAGTGGCACATGTAAAATCACTTGCCCTGATAATTTTTCCTCTATACTGGACGTTTCCTTGTTGATTTTTTAAAATAAGCAACATAATTAACATTGGAAAGTCAACTGGACACCGGTACAGTGTGATATACAAATTTGCTTGCCCAACAGAAAAAAACACTGGACTCGGACGTCGGGCAATGGGTTATTTCCACCCCTGATATCCTAACAAAGAGCAAAACTGTTTCACATTTCACTCACGTTTACCCTCCTGTATTTTAGTTTATACCACAACAATCAGTTCAGCCTGGGATGAAAGTACCATATGACATGCCCCAAATACCTCTAGAGTACAACAATGTTATTTGTTGGGTCATGTTTTCCTCACTGTTAAATTTACATCACTACATCACTACCATAATGGAAAGGAGGCTCAAGTTAATGCAAGATAAGCAAACTGTTTTTAAATAAAATGTACCGACAGTTGTAGATGGCTAACGAACACTTGGGGTAAGCTAACTGTTCTTGAATTGAACGCAGCATAAGAGCACCTACACATGTGTAACGTAAGGTAACTGTTCCCACATGGTAAGCTAAATATTCTTGAATGGAATGTAGATGGAGAATCAATCAGATTGGCCCATTTCTGGTGTTAACTTTTTTTGAGTTTTTGTCATCCATAAAGTTTGTCTATATTGCCCCACATATAGCTGGAATATTACCAAGTGCGGCGTAAAACCGAACTCACTCACAAATCTATATTCTATTGTATGTCTGGAGCATCTTAATTGCTGCAAATTTCTTTTTTCTTTTCTTTTTTGGAGTTGAGAGGCAACGCAAGGAGTGTTTAGCTTAGGTCTATCATTAGTCTCTCGTACAGACCCTGAAGCAAATATATCCAAGAAAGCCCACACAAGTCTAGAAAATGTGGCAAGTCTAAATGAAGAAAGTCTCAGGGCTCCTTTTCATTACCCCGTATATATATTTTTTTTACTATGAACTTTTTTCAGTAAAATATGTTCATTTCAGAGACTAGTTGTTAGTCTAGTCTATCCCAACATCACTAATTAAAAGAAATTCATAATGCAATAAAATATTTGAAAGAAAATAGCGACTCTTGTGAATCGCATAGTTAACAGCTAATGTTAAAAGGTGTCACTAAATTTATATTACAAAAATGTCATTCTTGGCTAAAATCTTAAAATTAATTACTGTCGCCTAAAACAGCTGACATTGCATTATCTGGAACCGGCAGACCTTGACTTCTCCAAAACAAATACATACCTACATCCTAACTACAACAATCCACCTGCCAGAACACTACAATCACATGCTGATTAAACACAGACAGGCCATTCAGCAACAACAATGGCCTGGCGGACAGAGCTGATGTAGGTAGTGGTAGAAGCAGCTTGAATGGAGACACATCCACAATGCCTGCGACCGTTTGTGTACATTCTGGTTGGGTGGTGTCTAAACAAGGTTTTATGTTCATGTAAACTATTCTTAATGCTTTGACACACTGCTTGGCAAAGCTGTGTTATGTAATTTACGGAATGCACAAACATGGTTCCAACAGGACAAATATGAGTGTTTTGGTGCTGTTTTTTGTTTCAATTAAAACGATAAAGTGTAATATTTCTGTGAATTATCTTGACCTGCTCAGTGGTTGAATCTGTGGTTAAAATTAGCAGCAAATGTTGGAAAAAGTGGAATTAATATCTTACCAATTAATTACCATTCATAATCTCTGTTGTGATTGAATAAGTTTTCACCTGGCTTATGGGAATATTCCACCAATATCTCAGCAAAGGACACCAGAAAGGTGACTCACTCACTCACTCACCCACAAGAGAAAGCTACACCAATATATATGGGTACATTTAGGTCAGCTCCCAAGAATTTTGTAATATGTTTGTACTACAAAATCTAACATCCCCCACATTTTCCTGAGCATGAAAAATTTGAGCTTCCTCTATGTAGTTTACATGTGGGTATTTAAAATTCGTCATTCCTTGAATGATCGTAAGTGTAAGCATATTTCCCCTTATTGGAACATCTTGGTTAATGGATTACGTCAAAATTGAACAATGCAAAAATAAGTGCCAACTATAACACTACAGTGATCCAGAAACGTAAACAAAACATCTTGGTTAATCCTATCTCAAATATTATTGGTGTCCTGGGGATTTTGCCAAGAGACCGCGATCGTGGAGAGGCAGGAAAGCGGTTACGTCATCGGAGGTTAAAGGTCATACCCGGAAGTTTCTCACGTGCTGCACGCCCTGCACATAGCCGCGCGACGAGAGTGTGACATTTCACGTGAAGTCCGTGCATCTGTTACCAAATAACAGGGTGGCAGGTGGCGAAGTCAAGACGAGTCATCTTTTACAGAAACCCGACAAACCTCGTCGCGGCAGGGAACCGAGCACCGGTTGGTGGAGTGAAATTTAATAAAGACGACTTTGACATCTGGAGGTCTGCAGCTCGTGGAATCTGAGCCCCTTGTCAATTTCTGGACTGGTTTCCCACGGTCTAAAACTTCTCCCTGACTATCCCCCTTCCCCTTCCCGTTTCAATTTGGGGTGAAAAGATCTTGGAAATGGGAAACGCATGTTTTGTCTTATCTTGAGTTCCCGTTAACCGCCTAGAGGATAATATATCTGGCCTCATAACATGATAATTTGCATGAAGGCTCCGCCAAGTTATTATCTGCCATAAAGTGCGTTACTGAACAAATATTTGTGTATCGTCATTATCCAACACGAACACGAAAGACTGTAATTAATAAGCGGTAACTCAACTGAAACAGGTTATTGTCAAATAATAAATTATTTACGTTGGCAACTGTGATTATATTAGCAAAACATGCAGGGGAGACAAAATCTTTTATAAATGATGATTAGTCATTATTAATCTGATTCCCCGCTCTAAACCAAGTCAGTGCACCCACGCACTTCCCAAATTGTCGATCGATCATTCCTCAAAAGATATCTCACCTAATACCAATTCAAAATATGTTGACCATGTCAAATCTCCAACACAAATATAATCTCAGAACAAACCGAACGAGCAATTTCAATAGAACATAACTTAAACAAATTGAAGGAGTTTAAATATTTCATGAAATCTGGTAGTGAAATTTTCAACGGTAGTTTTATCCTTACAAATATCACGACAAAAACTCTCACAAATCAATTCCAAATGTCGCGTAACCTGTGCATCAAACAACCGCTAAGAAAGTGTCCTGATCGACAGTAAATGTTGACATGTTTTGTGGGAGGCAGTGTGTACAACTGTTTGTAGATCCAGACTCGACACTACTGTTTGGTGGGAACACTTGAATTCTCACGTGGAAAAACCCGCGGAATTGGTCCCACAATATCTGGCAGGATTAAACTCTCGTCAGGAACACAGTAATGACGAAGAAAATGAAAAAAACAAAAAAACGGAATAATTTATAATACATGTACCAAAACAAAACCCCACTTATATTACATTTTTTCATGAGATACCTTCAGCGTGACCTCGTCAATCGGGTCAACTTCCTAACTAGAGCAACTTCATGGAGTAATTTCCAATGCATATATTATTTAGCCTTTACATAAAAATAACAAATAAACAAACAAACATAAAATACACACACCAAAAAATCACCGGAAAAGCAGGTGTTCAAATTAGTGGGGTCTTCACAAAAGAGATTTGATTTCACTCAGTTTTGATAATGTACCGGAAAAAAGTTGAAGTGTTACCGTTGCTTACAAGGTTTTCCAGCAAAGATAGGAACAACATTATCAAGATTTCACGTATTGCTAATAGATACATACATATTCATATAGCCTTGCTCTAAGGCTGTACTGAATGCTGAACCCGTGGATGTATAGTAATTCTATCCTTCGAAGAGACAAGTCTAGATATGCGACCCCAGTCTGTTAGTTATTATGTTTTAGAAATTATCATTCAAACTATCAATTTTACCCTTAGAGTCTTGTGCAAGTCTAACAGTTATATGTCAGCTCAATAAACATACACTCACAACAATTACAAATAGGTTGATATTTCATCTTGTAAATTGAATCTGCATGCTAAAACAACTTAATCTGTGCAACCATGGGCAAAAACCACCGATTGGAAAGGCATTAATAATTTGGACTCTGCCATCTACCACATGAACATAGAAAGGTTGTGATCACCTAGCGAGACTGTTTTTCACTGATACAATTGATATAGATAAATTACCCTATACACAGGTATCAATACATCCAATATTAAAACATAAATAATTATGTGCCTTGGGTTTTTTATTTATGCCTGAGTGACCATCCTCTTTACATACAAATCTGATTATATTTGTCAGATCACGAGAAAGTGAAGGTCCTTCCGCTCGTGACACAAATTGTTAGGGGTGATAGGACCTGAATACTGTATTCCGGGGTAAGCGGAACCACCCTTCTTCCTTGAGGCATAATTATGGGATCTGAGCCCTTTTCACAAAGCAGTTTTAGCTGAATGACTGTCATAAGCCCGCGTTAAAGAATGGGGGGTTACTAAGGTCTTACTGGTATGGTCGCTTTGTGAAACGTGGACCAGGCGAAAAAAGTTAAGTCTGTCTCACAGTCCCTGGACCACATTATTTTCCCTACTGCCCAGCCCTCCCTGTAATGCTAAAGTCCTAGATGAAGAACAGATTTCTCTCCCATCTCACTGGGGCTTTTTGTTTCAATTTAAATGGGTTCGTTTGTTACATTCAAAATCTATTATATTCAGAGACTAAGGGTTAGCCCAGAAAAAAAGTCTGTGACCTGGTTGACTGCGTCTTTATGTCTAGCGAGGATAGTTGCTCATGATATCAATCACCGGTTTCCGGATGCTATTCAACGTCTCAGGGACATTCGTTATGTTTCTGTGACGTTAATTGTTAGGTGCGACATCAAACAAAACTACATGTCAGGACACCCTTCACTTTAAACGTGAATACAGATAATTGTGCGTTATAAAAGTATGTTCTTAGAAAGCCCCAGTCATGGGCCCTAAAATATTAAATGAATCCCCTTCTGAGCAATGAGCCGCAATGCCCACGGGTTCCTGAACAAACTGTCCTTATCCTTTTATCCAACAGTTCAAAATATCCAAGTCTGCCATACAGACCCTGGAACAAATATATCCAAGAAAGCCCATGCAAGTCTAGAATATGTGGCAAGTCTAGATTTCCACGTTTCAGGCTGAAAATGAAGAACGCTTCAGGCTGGAAATGAAGACTGTCTCAGGGCTCATTTTCATTATATATTTTTTTGTGTGTATTATTAACTGTTATTTTTCTGTAAAATATGTTTATTAAAGAGACTTTTTGCTAGTCCAAAAACATCCACAATTGACAATTGCAACTCGAGGCAGCTAAACGAAATGACTTGGCATGACTAACGGGATCGGATGGGGACCGACACTGACAACGGATGATGTCTTATCCCAACTCCGACGATACATGCTCATGACATCACCCACTAGGTTATACTGTCCAACAACAGCATTTACATTCGCAACCACACAACTAGAACCTTGCTGTGTAAGATAGTAAGGTAAACTCAAATGTCCATGAACACCATTAAAAGAAACAACTCAAAGTTATATTCCTCCCGAGTATTTTATAATTATATGTGTTTCCCGTAAAGCGCATACTGCTATATTTACTGCAGTATATTACTGCGAGATACACCCCCTTGACATTTTACAAGTTGCCTTGAGCTATAAAAGCCTTGCCCGTCTCTTTTCTGACGACAGGCGGATCATGACAGAAATAGACAATGAGCCGGTCGAGGACGCACACACAACGGTACAGTAAGGGAGACTGGGGGTATATTCTGAAGCACTCGTGCACATCGGGTTATTTATTTCACAATGAGCACGCGATGGCAAGATCTGACACCGAGCTTCCGGATTCAGAAAGCAGACAGTGACCGAGACGCTCATACAATAACTGTTTCTCATCCTCTCGTCAACTAATCGTCATTAATAAAACGTTCACGCACAAGTATGCGTTACAGGCAGCTTTTAACTTCACCCCGGGTAAGAATAGAAAAGTCAACGTCTGCATCTACACCCCACACAACACACACACGTCTTCAATAAACCTGTCATGTCAAAATTATACGTTACAGACAGTGACAACAGAAACGTTGACAGACTGCACCCCAACCCCCCGTCCTCAATAAAACTTTCATGCAACTTTAGAAAGCACAGACTATATACCTGTTTTTTAAGTGCCCCAATTACAATAGAAACGTTGCCTTTGTAGAACCAAACACGCGAAAATGCCTGATACATAAAACACGTGCTATTATTCGTCTGGTGAATAATATATTATTTATTCTTATCTTTGTCAGTCCCAGTAAGAATTATTTACAATGACACCGTTAATATGCTTCGAAATAGATACAAGGATATCCTATTTCTGTTGCCTGGGAATCACGCTTTCTGAAAGCTACCCCATATTTAACTCAGTAATGAGTTGCCATGGCGATACTAATACCGAACGCACGACAGTAGAGGGGTATTTTACCTAGAGGAGATGTATGTCAATTAAGAGTTGAAATGGAGAAAAAACGAATAAAACACAAATTCAGCAGAGAATTGTCACCGAGTTACTGAAAGTTTTGGGACCCATTCCTTTTTTACCGAATTAACAAATATTTAGCATTTAGATATAGTACCCCACACATATTAATCAATCATACAACTGCATTCTTGCCCTTTAACTGTTTGGTGAATCTGTAGGTGCATATCGATACAGATCAATAAAAATATGTGTATATATCACCAGAGACCATTTAATAGATTATAGGGTCTCTGATATCACTTACATTTGCCTTGAAGTGTTAAGTCTATTCTATCGTAGCCTTCGGTTTAAATTTTAACATCACGCATATTACTTACCGCTATGGCGTTCACGTATGTTGGAGTGACTTGAGTGAACTCGGTAGATTCCGTCAGTGTTTTCATATTAAAGTACAACCCGCCGATTACAATTCCAAGCACAAGGATCACCGCCCCCAGAACCATGAATATCCATAACCTGCCGTCACACTTGGATTTGCTTCTTCTGTAGATCCTCCGCCGTCCATTACTGCCTTCCTCGCTCTCTCCATCCGATGATTCACTTGGGGGTCGTTTCTCATCCATTTTTGACAACTTTCTTTCGCCTTGAAAGTTTCAGAAATACGCCGACATGCTAATCCGAGTCTGCTGTCTCATGCATAGGTTGTTGATATACAGATGTATACTGTACAATCACAGGGCTTTGTACTTGTATGTAAGTTTGCCTTTCAAAGTTAAAGACGCTCGCTTTTCACCGCCGAGGCAGAACGCTTGGCTTTGTGGGGGCCTAGTCACCACACGTAGAGAGATAACAGGTTCTACAGTTACCCTGTCCTTTCAAAACTCTCGTCTGCTTCTGACAAGCAGCAAACAAACTTGTAGTAAAGGTCACGTGTTCTAACCGTAAATCCTGACGACACTTTCCCCAAGTTATACCATCCCTCCACACGTTTTAAATCAAGACTCCAGAAATCCCTGCCAGCGGAGCGCTGTTTCCCACGACCGGTCCGAGTGTGGTTAAATGTCCGAATTCCTTCACTGACCGTCTGACTCTGATATCACCCTTGCTCCCATTTCGTAGCCAGTCATTCGTGTCGCACCTCGCGACTGGCGCAAGTTATCGTCTGCCGTCAACTTCAGCACGCTCTGGGCTCGGGAGCCGCACGTGGCTGTTTATGTCTCGTCACGCGCTCGTGACTTTGCGAGATCTGAGAAAGGTTGAGGGGTGAAAAAGTTTGTTTCAAAGTTTGTGAGCAGTGCTGCGAGCTTCTTTGTCTAAAGCTTTCGCTGGGTTTGCAGAGGATTTGTTTGGCGTTTGTGCCTCACATTCAAACCTCAGGCTTTCTTTGTTCGGCGCATTTAGATGTAGACTGTTGATGGTTCAAGGGGCAGTGAGAGATGGGAAAGTTTTTGTTTTGGGCTTCGTATCCCCTTCCAATACGTCTATTTGCTAACAAGTATGGTCCACAAATCAAAGCTCTCATGTGGAATATACATCATGTCAAAACAAAAATCAAATATTTTTAAGCATGAACCTGCTCGCTATAACGCTGAAACGTGGGTTCGTTTTCCCTGCGATAAAGTTTGGGGGAAATCTATCACAACTTCTATGGTTTTGAGTGGCATTTAGAAGTTGGTGTGATGAACAAAGAGAACAGTTCTATGGATATACAACTTCTTTATTGTTAATATAAGCGACGTTTCGGTGGAGTAAAGTCAAACTAGTGCCATGCTTCATAACGGTATTAGTCGCTACACCGTTTCGCTCATATTAATGATAACTGTATATCCACAGCAGGGGCGGATACAGCTCTTTGAGAAAGGGTGCACACTATTGAGAACATTTCATTTTCACCCAAGTTTCAATGGTCATTTAAAAAACTTTCAGCACCGGGGGGGTGTGGGTGTGTGTGTGTGTGTGTGCGCGCACCCCTGCACCCCCACCCCCCTCTGGATCCGCCTACGCTCAGAACTCTCCCCGTTGTACATTTATATCTGCCAGACACGTTTATATTTAATTTCTTTAACTGAACTGGCAAGTATCCTTCACTGCTCGTTGAACAACAAATGAAACAAAGTAGAGTGTTCTTTAATAGATATGTGTTGACAATCTGTGGTTGTAGCGTATCAAACATAATAAATAGTGTATTAAATATTACCCACAATCAAAGGTTGTAGATTATCTATGACTGTAGACTAAAATATCATCAACTATTGGATTGTGTGTGATTGTAGACTGTGAAATATTATGGGCCATCGAGTGAATGAGTGTGTGAGTGAGTTAGTTTTACGCCGCGTTTTTGCAATATTCCAGCTTCACACATTGTACCCATGTGGGGAATTAAAGCCGGGCTTTCGGCATGACAAGCGGACAAGCATCGAAGAAAAACTATCCACCAGTGAGTGAGTGAGTTTAGTTTGACGCCACACTCAGCAATATTCCAGCTATATGGCGGCGGTCTGTAAATAATCGAGTCTGGACCAGACAATACATTGATCAACAGCATGAGCATCGATCTGCGCAGTTGGGAACCGATGACATGTGTCAACCAAGCCAGCGAGCCTCGAAACTTCCATCATGGCATGACTGAAGATTATCGACTATCGAAGATAGATTATCCTTGGTTGTGCACTTTGAAATATTAGCGACTATCGAAGGTAGAATATGTATGAAATTAGTCTTCCATATTATCGAAGCTTGAGTTTCAGGGAACGTGGAGTTTTCGTTTAACGCTCAAAAGTCAAGGAGTGACACCGACTCACTGCCAGAGTTTGAAGCCGGTCAATAACTGAGTTCAAAAGAATTCCCACTTCCAAAGGTTGTTGAGAACCAGTGGCTGTAGTGTATTCAATGTCACCGACTATCAATAGTTATAATAATAATAATAATAGATAATAATAGTGCATATTTATAACGCGCACATATCCACACTCAGAAGCATGTTCTTGGCGCTACATAAGTACCGTAAAATAAATACATTATATATACAAAGCAAGAAAACTACAATGAATAGGTGCATAATACATAAAAAATAAAGGCTATTGAGGATAACATTTAGCAAAGAGGTAGGTTTTGAGATTTGATTTAGAAGAGTCTACAGATTCAGAGTGTTTGAGGTCAAAGGGGATAGAGTTCCACAAGACAGGGGAAGTGTAGGAGAAAGTTCTGTATCCAAAGGTTTTAGGTTTGTAGTTATAGGAGCAATGATTGTAAAACAACTAAACAGTGTTGATTTTCAAAGGTTGAAAGGTTGTAGCGTATTAAATAGTCTGTTTCACTGTACATGAACCGACCCGTGAAGATCCGGGGTAGAATAGGTCTTCAGCAACCCATGCTTGTCACAGAAGGCGACTATGCTTGTCGTATGAGGCGACTAACGGGATCGGGTGGTCAGGCTCGCTGACTTGGTTAACACATGTCATCGGTTCCCAGTTGCGCCGATCGATGTTCATGATGTTGATCACTGGATTGTCTGGTCCAGACTCGATTATTTACAGACCACCGCCATTTAGCTGGAATATTGTTGAGTGTGGCGTAAAACTAAACTCACTCACTCACTGTACATGAACCACAGAGAGAGAGGATGCCGAGAAGGTAACGGTATATGCGCCTGTCTCACAGCATGTTAATCAGTGCCGCAGTACGAAACATTGTGACGTAATCGCTCACCTGGGGACCGTGTCAAGAACAGCTATTCTGATTCGACACCTTGACAAAGCGGATGTGTAATTGCGTCACGTGATTAAACCTCCTGTCATTGTTTTACCGAGGTGGAAGGATTATGAACAGATGGATTATGTGCAGAAGGAATTTGCGCCAGAGCCTAATCCCAGTGTCATCTAAACCATATGTTATGGTAACTAAAGATTTATCACACTACGGGCGATGAATATTCCAATGGTGTAATCCGTGTCACTGTTATGAAATATGGAAATAAATAAATAAATAAGAAGGAAAATGCATTCATAGTTATTTACAAGTTAAGATGAAGATGTAAGAATCATAGGGATGGATGGATGGTATTGAGAGTATCTCGATATGCACCAATAATAAATGACGAATGAATGAATGAATGAATGAACGAACAAACAAATTGTAGTGACAGTATCCCAATATTCACAAATAACAAAAAGGCCAAATCGAATAGTCCAGCAATTCAACAATGCCGTGTTCAAAGCGTTGAAATTTCACACAAAGTATTGCAAACATGCACTGACGAAATCTACACTTTGATTGAAAGATAACACGATTCGTTATACATCTTAGGTTACAAGTGTATGACTCACACACAAGTGCCAAGAGCCACTCAAGGGACATAAAATAACCTTTGGATATAAATTCGAACAATATCCCATGCACTGGCTCTCGACAGACACGTGTACTGAAGATGGCAATACACACGGCTCAGCAGTGGGGATGTATATATCAGCTCGTGATGCGTGTCTGTATCACTCATCTGACAGCTATGGACAACAGGTGCGAGGCGGGAAGCACGAGAAACAACCATCATGCTTCACGTGTTTCAGGTGAGACAACGAAAGGGGAGTCAAGCTGGGTGCGTTTGGACGAATCAGCTTTTTAGTCGGAAACAGTGTTCAGCGCTTTGGTCATAACGTGAGTGCTTCTAGAAAATTTACCGCTCATTCAGCAATATTCCAGCAACATCAACGGCGGGGAAATAAACATTGTGGCTAGCGAATAGCGAAAAACACAAGGTAAGTACCCCCCTACCCAACCCTACCTCCACCTGAGGTTTCCGAGAATAGAAAGTTGGTTTTAAGCCTCAGTATCTTTCCAGTATCGGTATATAGACAGCATAAAGGCAAGAGTGAGTGAGTTTGGGTTTACGCCGCTTTTAGCAATATTCCAGCAATTTCACGGCGGGGACACCAGAAATGAACTTCACTCATTGTACTCATGTGGGCAATCGAACCCGGGTCTTTGGAGTGACGAGCGAACGCTTTAGCCACAAGGCTACCCGGCCACCCCAACAAAGGCAAGACAGTGGTTAACAAGATGAACACGATCGGTGATAATGTGACCAACAATGTTACTTACAATTCATACAATATCTCAACTGTGAAATGTGACTAACAAATTGCCTGCCTTTAAATTTGGTGCTATGACTTTTTCTGCTTTTAAATGACAATGTAATGAATATATGTTTTTGAAATAAAACTCATTACGAGTATGTACTTACAATGTTTATTAATGCAAACTTGTTCTCGTCACTATATGGCTGGAATAATGCCGATGTGACGTAAAGCCCAACTCAACTCAACTCAACTCAGCAGATACCATATTATATGGTCTCTTATCTCAGTCACCGCGAACAGCTTGAAATTTGTTGGTTGAGGTTGAGTTTGGCTTTATGTCACATCGGCATTGTTATAGCGATGTAGCGACGAGAACAAGTCTGCCTGCATTCATGGACATGAGTTTTAGTTTCAGAACACATACATTCATCACACTCTTATCCAAAAGCAAAAGATGTCGAAAACAAAAGATGTCACAGCACCAAGTCCAAAAGCAAGCGATTTGTTACTCACATTACAAAGTTACAATTTATGATATACGTCAGCTTCCCACAGGTAGTTTACAATCAGATGTCCGCTCACGCGGGAATATAGATCTTTCAGATTTGTCGCATCATATTGTGAATCCCTTGCAGTCCACGCAGTCAAGCAGAATATACTTGAAGGTGAACACACACATGGGGGGGTCCATCCCCATCCACATGTAAACCGACTGTGGCCAATACGACATCGTCGTAAAATTACCTCATCACGTCTTGACTGACAATCCAAGGAGGTATAACCAATTGTTGGCTTCAATCCGTAAAGTTTATTTCTTCCTACTTGGGTGTCCCACCTCTTTAGCATGAGGTCCCGAGTATAAATTTTTATAGTGGGTTTGAAACCACAGCAGTGGAGATACGGGCTTGTCAAGAGCTGCTTTAGCTGCAGCATCGGCTTTTGTGTTACCTGCAATGCCGACATGACCCGGCAACCAGCAGAGGATGCGGCATAAAATATTATTCATTCACGTAACATGATTTGTTTTCAGCATCACGTTTTGGTTCCAAATGTCTGGCATATTAAATGGTTTGGCTTTCAATAGAAAGTTTAAGCCATTATTAAACAAATTCGTCAAGAGCAG